ACATATGTTTGCTTAAAACACTGCAGACAAAAAGAAACACAGAGAGAGGGAGAAAGAGAGAGGGAGGGAGAGAAGGAGAGAGAAAGAGAGAGAAGAAGAGAGATGGAGGGAGAGAGATGGAGAGAGAGAGAAGATATATAAATAGATAGAGATAGAGAGATGGAGAGAGATAGAGAGAGATAGAGAGAGATAGAGCGAGATAGAGAGAGATAGAGAGAGATAGAGCGAGATAGAGAGAGATAGAGAGAGATAGAGCGAGATAGAGAGAGATAGATAGAGAGATAGAGAGAGATAGAGAGAGAGATAGAGTGAGATAGAGAGAGATAGAGAGAGAGAGAGAGAGAGAGAGAGAGAGAGAGAGATAGAGAGAGATAGAGAGAGATAGAGAGAGAGATAGAGTGAGATAGAGAGAGATAGAGAGAGAGAGAGATAGAGAGAGAGAGAGAGATAGATAGAGAGATAGAGAGAGATAGAGAGAGAGATAGAGTGAGATAGAGAGAGATAGAGAGAGAGAGAGATAGAGAGAGAGAGAGAGAGAGATAGAGTGAGATAGAGAGAGATAGAGAGAGAGAGAGATAGAGCGAGAGAGATAGAGAGAGAGAGAGATAGAGAGAGAGAGAGAGAGATGGATGAGATGGAGATAGAAAAAGAAGTGTGTATAAACATATATTTACAGGTTATGTTCAAACTAAACCTTTTCCAAATCCAACATGATTCGAGCCCAGAAGTTTCTCATCTTCATTCACTAAACCTCTCCTTGTTCTTGGAGAAAACTTTCACCTTTGACAAAACATTCTTTTTTCTTCTTGACCGTTTCTTTTAAAACATTTTTTAAAAGTATTTTTTCTTATTTCCAACTTGTCTTGTTCAGCTAAAATAAGTTTGTGACGCTGTATTTGAAGAAAACATCAATAATGTTTAAGAAAGAAGTAAAAAAAAACTTTAAATGTTTTTAAACTAGAATAAGTCGTTTGGGGCTAGTTTTATTTTAATATTTTCAAAAATCTTTAGTGATACACTGCAAAAAGTGACAAAATATAAATTAATTCATCATAATTTGAGTATTTTTTGCCTTTTGGTCTTTAAGTGTTATTGCATTTTTTGTCGAACGCCAAGAGAGAAGTTTCTTGATTCGTCTTGTATCGTTTTAAAACAAGACTTTTTTGCTCGTCCCAAATGGCAAATCTGTTTTTATACTGTCAAAATGTGCACAAATTAAGATAAAACCACTCGATTCAAGCATTTATTACCTTAAATTTGTATAATTTTTTGCAGTGTATTTCCTTGTTTTATTCACAGATCATTTTTTATTATTTTAAACAGTATTTTACTTATTTTCAATTTTTTTTCCTTATTTATATCACAGGGATTTTTTTCCAGTGAAGGCTAAACAGGCCCCGCCCCCACATCATAACTCCTGTCGCTCAGACATGTCCGTTTGTTCTTTCCTTCTTTACGGTAAATATCTGCGAGGACAGACACGTCCAGGGGCAGGGGCTGATGGGAAACGTAGTCAAAACAACAGGCAGATGTGCTGGAGGCCTGAGTCAGCGGGCCCCAGGCTGAGGGGGCGGGACCAGGGCTGAGGGGGCGGAGCCTGGAGGAGCCTGGTCTGTTTGAAGTGCTGCTGTTGTATCCAGGCTGAGGGGGAGGAGCCTGGGCTGAGGGGGCGGAGCCTGGAGGAGCCTGGTCTGATCTAAGTGCTGCTGTTGTATCCAGGCTGAGGGGGCGGAGCCTGGTCTGTTTGAAGTGCTGCTGTTGTATCCAGGTGTGAGACATGAAAGAGAAAGTCACTCAAAGAGCAACTTGTCTTCACCTTTTCACACGTGTCAGGGGCCAAAGTATGTTTTATGCAGCGGGCGTAGGTGGAAAGGGCGCCGCGCCACTCTGGGTTTTGAGAAATTAAAGTGATATATGTGGATATTTATGATTTTAATCCCATTTAAGTGTGATTTTAATGTTCTAAGATTTTAATGTGTGTGTGTGTGCTTTGTGGATTGATTGATATAAAGTCTGGAGAAAACAGATGTATGTTTTTAATCTTTACCAAAACTAATACTATGTGCAGGTTTTCATATATTTTATGCATATTACACTGCATTTTTTAAACTTATTTTCTCGGTTTATTTCAACTGATTCTTTCCAGTGTGTAAAAACAAGCTTAAAAACTCACTGATTATGAAGTATCTTAAAACTAGTAAAATAATATTAATAATCTGACAAACTACATTCAAGCAAAAAAATAAGCATCATTTATTTTATTGTTATTATGTAAATATTATTTCTCATTTGTTTTTCAGTGCACTAATTATTATTATTTTATTATTATTATATGTCACAAGTATCTTTTCTAACCTGCAATGAAAAAAGGAAAATATTGGACAGATTTATTTGATAAAAAAAAAAAAATTGTGCTTTTTTTTAATGGCAAAATTTTTGTTGCTTGAATGTAGTTTTTCATAAGATTATTTTACTAGTTTTAAAATACTTCATAATCTTATTCGAGAAATCAGTCTGAGCAGTGAGTTTTTAAGATGATTTTAAGTATTTTTTTATCATTTCCAAACTTTTCTTGTTCAGATAAAATAAGTTTGTGATGCTGTATTTTAAGAAAATTAAAAAAAAAAAATCAGTAACTAACACTTGAAATGTATGTTTTAAAACTAGAATCAGCTCATTTTAGGCTAGTATTATTTTAAACCATTTTCTCTTGTTCTTTACACAAATCGTTTTTATTTTTTCAAGCAGTATTTTACTTATTTTCTTACTTTTTCCTGCGTCTCGTCGACATCAAGAGAACCTGGAAACGCCGCAGAGTTTATGTTGCGAACACAATCCACCTCATATCCTCACACTCAGAGGGAGGTAGATTGATTCTGGGCCGCGGTGTGAGGCCGGATGACTAACCCACCGTCTCCGCTGGCGTCGGAGTGCGGCGGCGGCGGGCCCCGGAGCGCTCATACCCTCCACCGCCGTTTATTTTTGAACTCTCCAAGGTCATTGTTTCGCTACAGATCACAAGGAGCGGATTCATCAGATCTGCATTCAAGCTCAGCGTCGGCCGTTTCTCTCTGTGCTAATCCCGTGAATATACAGGTGCGTGTGGTCTCTGTGGCGGGATAATGGCGGCGGGCAGAGGGAGGGGGGGGGGGGTGAGGGTCCTGGTTGACAAAGTGCCGCTTGTCTTTGATCCCACATTCTCAGACGCGCTACCTTTATCCCGGCCGTCTTTTGATGTCTATCGTACAATATTGTATGTGTCCAAACCGGTTCATGTTTCAGTCTTGTGTAAAATCTCTGATGGAATTTCACAGTTTTTAAACACAGAGGAAAGATGAGTTCAGTCAATGTTTGGCTATTGTCAAAAACGTCTCGTGTTTCATTTCTAATTGTGGTGGAAAAGGATAGAGGAAAAGGCCGCCAGCGAAATGGAGTGGCAGTGAAAATAAGAATACATTAAAGTTGTATTCAGCTCTTTTATGTCACGTGGTGGAAATGCAGGAAGGACCCAAAATGCAGGAATGCCAAAAAATATTATTTAATGATAATAAAATAAAAGTCCAGGTAAAACTCAAAATCCAAAGGCTCAAAAAGAATCAAGGAAACCGGAACAGACAAGGACAAGACGAAGGTTGACAATACAATGGACTAGCAACAAGGGGAGAGAAGCACAGGGTACGTATAGACACAGAGAGACACAGGTGAAACACATCAGGGCGGGGCAGACAATCAAGACAGGGGCAACAGGACAGGAAGTACAACTAAAACCAAACCACAGAGAACAATGTCAAAATAAAACTAAAATACAAAAATAAAACCCACACCATGACATTTTAGACACTTAGGCCCTGTTTAGACGGAGGCGCTGCGCAGACGTTGCTATGAACAGAAACAACCAGGCTCCTTCTGCAAATATCACAGCGTTCATACAAGGATCAAAAACCATGTAGTTCTAGCGCCCGGCCAGTAGGGGGCAGAGGAACTGTACAACACGACACACGCGAGCCCCAGCAGTATACTCACTTCCTCTGCAAGACGTGAAAGAACCAGCCTCATTCTTTTCGTGCGGGAGCAGCAGGAGGTGGGGTCAGAGCAGCAGGAGGTGGGGTCAGAGCAGCAGGAGGTGGGGTCAGAGCAGGCACAGAATTCACACCATTTTCTTCACGCGGGTGTGAAAGAGCGCCCCCTGCTGAGCGTATCTGAGCTGTCCCACTCTGAGGCTGGATCTGAACAGTCTCCGTATGAACAGGGGGTAGCAACCGACACCAACTATCGAGTTTCACTGCTGCAGCGTCTCCGTGTAAACAGGGCCTTAAAGAGGTTTCAAGAGGTTTTAAAGAGGTTTCACCAAACATGTAAAAAGAAACATTGAAGAAATTAGGAAAAGGCTGAAACTGGTTTTGAGATGGATTTAAAGTTCTGTAGTGAGTCAGAGTTTCTGGTTGGTTTCAGAAGGGTCGGTCCTCAGGGTTCAGACTCGGTCCTCAGGGTTCAGACTCGGTCCTCAGGGTTCAGACTCGGTCCTCAGGGTTCAGACTCGGTCCTCAGGGTTCAGAGTCAGTCTTCAGGGTTCAGACTCGGTCCTCAGGGTTCAGACTCGGTCCTCAGGGTTCAGACTCGGTCCTTAGGGTTCAGACTCGGTCCTCAGGGTTCAGACTCGGTCCTCAGGGTTCAGACTCGGTCCTCAGGGTTCAGACTCGGTCCTTAGGGTTCAGACTCGGTCCTCAGGGTTCAGACTCGGTCCTCAGGGTTCAGAGTCAGTCTTCAGGGTTCAGACTCGGTCCTCAGGGTTCAGACTCGGTCCTCAGGGTTCAGACTCGGTCCTCAGGGTTCAGACTCGGTCCTTAGGGTTCAGACTCGGTCCTCAGGGTTCAGACTCGGTCCTCAGGGTTCAGACTCGGTCCTCAGGGTTCAGACTCGGTCCTTAGGGTTCAGACTCGGTCCTCAGGGTTCAGACTCGGTCCTCAGGGTTCAGAGTCAGTCTTCAGGGTTCAGACTCGGTCCTCAGGGTTCAGACTCGGTCCTCAGGGTTCAGACTCGGTCCTTAGGGTTCAGACTCGGTCCTCAGGGTTCAGACTCGGTCCTCAGGGTTCAGACTCGGTCCTCAGGGTTCAGACTCGGTCCTCAGGGTTCAGACTCGGTCCTCAGGGTTCAGACTCGGTCCTCAGGGTTCAGACTCGGTCCTTAGGGTTCAGACTCGGTCCTCAGGGTTCAGACTCGGTCCTCAGGGTTCAGACTCGGTCCTCAGGGTTCAGACTCGGTCCTTAGGGTTCAGACTCGGTCCTCAGGGTTCAGACTCGGTCCTCAGGGTTCAGAGTCAGTCTTCAGGGTTCAGACTCGGTCCTCAGGGTTCAGACTCGGTCCTCAGGGTTCAGACTCGGTCCTTAGGGTTCAGACTCGGTCCTCAGGGTTCAGACTCGGTCCTCAGGGTTCAGACTCGGTCCTCAGGGTTCAGACTCGGTCCTTAGGGTTCAGACTCGGTCCTCAGGGTTCAGAGTCAGTCCTCAGGGTTCAGACTCGGTCCTCAGGGTTCAGAGTCAGTCTTCAGGGTCCAGACTCGGTCCTCAGGGTTCAGACTCGGTCCTTAGGGTTCAGACTCGGTCCTCAGGGTTCAGAGTCAGTCTTCAGGGTCCAGACTCGGTCCTCAGGGTTCAGACTCGGTCCTTAGGGTTCAGACTCGGTCCTCAGGGTTCAGACTCGGTCCTCAGGGTTCAGACTCGGTCCTTAGGGTTCAGACTCGGTCCTCAGGGTTCAGAGTCAGTCCTCTGGGTTCAGACTCGGTCCTCAGGGTTCAGAGTCAGTCTTCAGGGTCCAGACTCGGTCCTCAGGGTTCAGACTCGGTCCTTAGGGTTCAGACTCGGTCCTCAGGGTTCAGAGTCAGTCTTCAGGGTCCAGACTCGGTCCTCAGGGTTCAGACTCGGTCCTCAGGGTTCAGACTCGGTCCTCAGGGTTCAGAGTCAGTCTTCAGGGTCCAGACTCGGTCCTCAGGGTTCAGACTCGGTCCTCAGGGTTCAGAGTCAGTCTTCAGGGTCCAGACTCGGTCCTCAGGGTTCAGACTCGGTCCTCAGGGTTCAGACTCGGTCCTCAGGGTTCAGACTCGGTCCTCAGGGTTCAGACTCGGTCCTCAGGGTCCAGACTCGGTCCTCAGGGTTCAGACTCGGTCCTCAGGGTCCAGACTCGGTGATGATTAGCCGTATTTCTGTATTTGAGTGGTTTCCTGCAGCTCCAACAAGCTGTCGGCTCTGTCATAGATTAGTCATCCTGGCGTCCTCTTTGTGAGTCGTGGAGCTCCGGCGAATCCGGAAAATCCTTCCCAGACTGTGTGTGTTTTAGTTTGGTCACTGTGTAATTAGGAGCTGAATCACACCAGCTACTAATATAAAACAGTCAATGCATGTAGGCTCTCGCTCACAACAAGGGACTAAACAGGATTGTTCAGCATCAGTCGTACCACACCACTGTACTCATTTCATTTGTACTAAGGTCTGGATTTGCTCCATTGACTCCGTTAACAGGTGGGAGGGGCTAACTCCTTTTGCAGATTGAAACGATTGGATCTGAGTTTACTGTGACGTATGTAATGAGCTCGAGTGAGTCGTTAGCATTTAGCCTAGCTTTAGCATGTAGCCTAGCTTTAGCCATCTCCTTTGCATCAATGACATTTACTAAACATTCCGCTTGCTCTGGCTTTAGTTTCTTGATATTTGGATTGAACCAGAACAGATTATTTTACTATCACATTCTCCATGGACCAGAGTTTACACATGGTAAGACCAGGCTAGCATCAGGCAGACGTCCATCCATCCATTCATCTTCTTCCCCTTAATCCATTTCTGAGTGGAGGGTGGCAGTCACAGAGTTGAGTCCGCAGGAGCCTTGATCTTTCAGTGGGTGCTTCAGGCAAAGTGGGGTTAAATGCCTAAGGACACAACAACAGCAGACATCAGTGGGAGTCGGTGGAGAAGGTATCGTGGTGGACTCAAACCCATAACCTTCAGACTCTAATGCTCCACCAACTTTGCCACTGTCGCCCAAATATTTACTTTTCAAATAGAATAAATTGTAGTAGATTGTTTCTTCTGCCATTTTGCTTTTCCAGTTACTGCTTCTGTAGGAGGCCAAAATGGGACGTCCCTTTCCTTCCAAGTTTGTTGCTGTGGGGGAGTTCCATAAACCACTCTTTATTTATCCCACGCCACTGTTGGTTTTGCTGTATCTTTAATTTGAGGCTAAATTAAATCGACTCCCTGGCCGTGGATAACCTTTAATTAAAATACCTCCTTGTGCGTTGTTGTTTCTTTCATGGCTTCATCTCAGGCCGAGCTGCTGACGGGCCGCCCAGTGTCCAGTGTGGAGGAAGCTCGGGACGCGGGGCAGAACCTGAAAGCCCGTGGATGTGGGGCCGTTATCGTCACGTTAGGACCCAAGGGCTGTGTGGTGCTCCGGGGCGAGGGCTCCAAACACATCCCCACAGCAGCGGTGTCGGCCATGGACACTACG